TAGTTAGCAACATAGCCAGTTTCTGTCACGCATGTCAAACTAGTGCAAACAAATGAGACAATCATCATACTATTCGCTAATTTGACCTGTAATTATAAGCACCAGTTTTTTCCCAAAAAAATGGACACAGTCACAGTCAGGCTTGTGTAATCAACTGCAATCCTGGTACATGTACGTACCGTGCACACACCATCACTTTCACTCAGCCCATCATCTAATCACATAATTCTTCCCTCTAAATGCACCTGGGTGTGGGTTCATTCGTTTTTCCTACCCCTCCAATACAAATCACATACCTTTAAACTTCATAAAAATTGAAATGACTCCAGTACAGTTAGATCAGGACGCCATTTTATTATTTTGACACTCCCTTTTGCACGCCCACTTTGATTATTTTTCAATTTTCAATTTTTAATAATTGAGAAAATTAACAGTAGGATGGAGTTTAAATTTTTGTAAAAATTCAGCAGATCCCAGATATAGTTTTGTCACAATTTTGAAATTAAAAAATGGAAAATCAAGGAAATTTTCAAATTTTTTGGCTAATGATTTTTTGGAAGTTGCATGTTTTAGTAATTTCTACTAAATTCAAGAAAGGAATGGTAGAAAATTACACTGACCGCCAGGTTGTGAGCTTTTTTTCACTAAGACACTTTGTCTTCTCTCCCTGGTGAAGAATTACTTTAGAAATTCTAAAGAATCTTGTAGTTGAAGATGACAGGCTAGACCTGCTTTCACAATTTATAATACAACAAGAACTTGCAATTATGTATACCCACGTGCTAATTATTGCGCTCTCAGAAACCCAACATGGCAGATAGCAACAGTTGTCAAGGAACTACATTAATAACGGTATAGCGGGTAAATTTGGAGGGGCTAAATTTTGGTGATTGGCGGATTTTTAATTTGGTGAATTTGTGGCCATGTGCCATTGAGCATGCATATAATAGCTCAAGATGGCGGATTTTTATTTTGGCGAATGGCTATCAAAATGCCAAATTTAATCCCCTCCAAAATTACCCACTATACGGTAATTGACTCGCACAGAACCTCTATAACTAAATTGGCAGCCATACCCACCAGTTGCCATGGACTGGAGAGAGAGAAAGAATAGCATTAATATTGGAATGGGAATAGCATAGCAAAGTAAACAAACACTTCATGCAATCTGAAACATGCAGAAAAGATCAATAGATGTTATCTTAGCCTGTGTTATTTTCTTCCTTTAGCAATGTACATGCGTGAACTACAACTTATAGTATCTGGAAACCACAAATGTCCCTCACAATATCTTTTTCTAGTCACTTTTCTCTATTCAGCTCTCCCTCTGCTTATGAGAGTGATGTGTGATTATAGTTAATTTACATCAAAATATTTTTTAGAACTAATGACCCTCATGTTTTTTACTCATTCTGGAAAGATCAAAGTTCAACAGTTTTGGCCTATATGACTCACACGGCTCCAGAATGGTGTGATACATCAGTTGTTAGACTGGACCTTTTTACTCTCTTCTATGTATACAATATATGGATTATGTGATAACTTGGCAGGAAGTGCCCATAATTCAATTTATTGCCACAAAGATGCCACAATAAATATTATTGTAAAATCATTATAGGAACTATAAATTAGACCACTAAAAATATTTATTTGAATTTTTTAATGGAAGAGATGATTATCGTAGACTTATTATGTAATAATGAGAAAGCTACAACCGTTTGCATTAATGCCACTAAATGTTACCTATAATTTAAGAATGTGAAAGTTGCTAAATTTATGTTGTCATATGATTTGATAGTAGTTGTATGATCACTGGTCATGTGTCTATACGCAATCAAATTTTTTTTGCCTTATTAGTAACGCGGTAGCGTTACTAAGTAGGATTCACCCCCAAACAAAATGGCTGCCACGACTTTTGCAGCCTTGCTATACCGGGAAAACGAGCTCCTATGCTTACCAGACTTCTTAGAGGACCTTATCTTGACCAGAGGACTCCATTGGTACCCATAGCATGGCTCTAGGCCCTGTCTAAGAGAAAAGCCAAAAATCGGCGAACCGGCCGTTTTGTTCAGCCACCTTTTTTTCATCTTCATCATCATCATCATCATCAAGAAGTCCTGTCAATCCAGTTGTCGGTGTGTATCTCAGTATCAGTTAGTGCTACAAGGATAATTCTTACACCAATCTACTCCAACAGTCTATGCGCAGGTCCATGTCCCATCAGATCATTCTTCAAGTAAGGAAAAAGTGGTACTGTGGCTGCTGGATCGAGCCATCTTAGCTGCATGCCGCCATTTTGTTAATTAAAGAAGCTTGCCATGTGCTCCAAAATTTGGGTGTGGTCGCGCATGCTCAGATCTGCAGCTCTGGAAGAAGCAATTTATTTTTTACCAAGCTATGCTTGCTACTGCAATACTTTAGTGGAGGTTTCCAGCTAAAAGAAGGTATTGATTTTACATGTTACTGTTTTATCAAGTGTATGATTTTATTTTATTAAAAAAAAACAAACAATTAATTAATGTATGATATGCAATGATAGTATGAATGACAACAGCCTGGAAGAACAGGAATAGCTGCATTCTGCTGCAACATTGCAGGGAAGATGGACACTCTCAGCTCACAGCTTCTTGAACAAGGACTTGTATCAAGACTAGTATTAATTTCACTTGTCATCAGGATAGTTGATATGCCTTCAGCATGTCTATTCGATGCTGTCTCTCATAAATGATGTAAAGTCATAACAATGATAATAATAATAAAGAAAATTATTGTTTGTGTAAAATCAACAAGCATCACAATGGCAACTAAAGAAATATTATAAATATTATAAAAAAATTAACACAAACAAGAACATAAAAAATTTAAAAAAACAAGATTAAGTAGGATTCCAAACGACCAACGAAAATACGAAATGAAAATCCTACTCGTGACGCAAATTCTACTCTACATTGCAAGGTGATCCGTAATTCTTACATAATAATATTGAAAGTACAATGTAGAGTAGAATTTGCGTCACAAGTAGGATTTTCATTTCGTATTTTCGTTGGTCGTTCGGAATCCTACTTAATCTTGTTTTTTTAAATTTTTTATGTTTTCAAATTAAAATTCATGTATCATTTATTTGTGGTACACATGTGTGGTGAAATGCATGGAAATACAGAATATTTAGTATGTGACTTGCTTCAATGAAAAAGTTGATAAAATGGAAATCAGCTTCCCCTGCCAGTTATCAAACCATTGACTTGATTAGTATTGCAAAACTAGAAGCTGCTAGTGGACATCAATTCTTCATGAGTAGCTGATCCTAACTTGATTCATTGACAGATTATATCTTTTTTACAGACCTTAAAAATGATTTTTGCTTCTGTTAGTGCTAAATATAAAACAAATATTGATGCATTTTTATACCCATTTTATCACTTAAGAACAGCTCTTCGTTAGAACCAATATGTCTTTTATCAGCTGGAGAAACTCAAACTTAACTAGAATATAAATGTAACGTTACAACATTAAGTTGAGCTCAGATCCACAGGAAATGCAATAAAATCATGTAAAAACAAAACTGACAATGAACCTTGTTATCACTTTTGACAACCAAAAAGCAAAGTGACATCAGCCAGGTTTTATTTTATATTTCTTTTAATTTTCTAAAATTAATAAATACTAGACATAATAATATTTTGATCTCATCGTTGCATATTCACTTCACCTTAATGTAGAATGCTATTAAGTGCATAAACCTTGTGCTAACTATATATGTAGCAGAAATATTTTAAATGTTTTATTCTATAGAGTTTTTCTTATCACAATTTGACAAAACGAGTATCGGGAGGATCTGATATACAGGAAATTAAACTATGGCCCTGGCAGGTAATGAAACTATCAAATTATATTATAAATTAATCTTTTGTTGTAATCGGCTCAAAATTTCCGTACAGCACACTAAGCTTTTTGAGTTATGGCCATTTATAAAAACAGACCAATTTTTGAAAATTTCCCTGTACACTTTTTTAACCCATGATTTTTTTATAAAAGGGCTCTAAAATCACCCCCAATATTTATTAAATTTTTATGCTGTGTAGAAGTTTAATTTTTTTGCCTTAAATTATTTGAGTTTTACCCATTTTTTAAAGGGCTAATTTTAAAAATTTTATTCTAGTACAGCCTTTTCCAAAAATTGGCTCCACAATTACCTTTTTATTACATTTTTGATGCATATTGATGTGCTTTTGCTGTGTAAAAAATTTGAGCTGGTTCTGACATAATTTTGAGTTTGAACTGATTCCTATGAAAGTCAGATTTTTATGAACTTTTAAAGTTGTTCCAAAATTAGGCCAAAGTCCTTGTTTACAAGTAAGTTTTTTCTGTTACTTATAAAATTATGCTTTTAGAAATTTTGAGCAGATTCTTTTTAAAATTGGAATTTTATGAATTTTAAAGGTGATAAAACTCTGGAAATATTATACTCTAGTACAGGGTCTTCAGCCACATTTTATCAAAAATGGCTAGGAGAAAATTCTCAATTTTTATAATTTTTTGATACAATTATACAGTTTTTTTATGTTATAAAGAAATATTAACCTGATTTTGATCAAAAATTAGACATTTTACAAGTTTTAAAGATACCTCAAAAGCCATGTACTTGCCAGGCCATGAAGCATGCTTTGAACCCTAGTCTGGTGCCAGTGTCATCATTTTGAGCCAAACCAGATGAACAAGTGCTACTACTCCTTATGTAATAAGTAAACGTTATAACACCCCCGCTAGGGATACATTGCATTTGTATGACCGAGCCTGAGGGCGAGGTCATACAAATGCAATGTACCCCGCAGCGGGGGTGTTATCAACATATTTGTGTAGTAGTGAGTGGGCGTATCAAAGGCGCGCCAATGCGCATGCTCAGTAGCACCACACCTCGTGGTAAAATGGTAGCAATGGAGGACAGGAGGCTCACAAAAAGGTACTTTTACCAACTGATTCAGGCTTTAGGTTGACATAATCTTACTATTTTCAGGCTATAAGTCTGGAAGAGGTCTAGAACAGAGATCCTGCGCTTGCTGACCGGCCATGTATCGATCTTACCTTCCCCGGCCATCTATATTTATTATTGAGGCTTAGTCAACCATTGATTTCAACGCGGAAGGAAAGCAGTGAAACTCTACCTGCATGGATTATTGGTCTGTGAATCGATCTAAAGTTTTTTTGCACTCCGGAGACTCACAATTGTTCCGACTTTGTACATATCCTCTGTCCGTTCCCGCGGGCCACTGGACCTAGGCCAGACTTT